GTGAGGAGGTGAAGGGGTGAGAGGTGAAGGGGTGAGGGAGTGAGGGGGTGAGGGGGTGAGGGGGTGGGGATGGGGGTGGGGTACAGTAGCCGTGGACTCACACGTGCACAGGAAGGCTGTCAGGCGTCCCATCACGGTTGTGGTCGGTGAGGTCGTGAATGGAGCTCACCGCGATGACTATCTGTCCGATGGTGTAGACGATGGATAATGAAATAATTGTCCTGTGTTTAAAAAGGTGAGAACCCTAGTTTATTGCAGATAGCTGTCTCTTTCCATTCTGCAAAACTCCCCGGCGCCCGGTCATGGATCTGCCCGCTTTTCAAAACTGGATAGAAACGTGGGCTCTCAGGATGGAATTCTGGTTAGAGCCTGGTAGTGTCCCACGAGATGTCCTCTGGTTAGGTGACTGCTCACAGTGGCTTTCCATCCACCAAGCCACACAAGCCTGAGTATCAGGAGTTTTTGTTGTCCCATCTCTGCAGGCCGCCGAACCTCACCAGTGACAGGCAGTGTCCCTGCTACTGTTTGAAAATGATACAGTTTGGTTGGGGCTGGGCATAAACAAACCAAACCAAACCAAACCATGATGAACGCACAACCTTCTAGAGTTCACAGTGCTGTGTTAGGAACGTGATAGCAAGCAGAAACAAGGCCACAGATGTCCTACAAGCTTCTTCTCCTTGACGCTTCCTTCCCCGCGCCTATCCTGCCAAACCACAAAGCTCACAATGAGCGTCTGCGCCTGCTTGATGAGAAAGTCCCAGTCACTCACTTGAACTTCCCCAGCCACGAGTCTGCGATCAGGGCTCCGAGAATCGGAGTCAGGTAGCACAGGGCAGCGAACGTGTGGTAGATGGCCGTGGACAGATCGTCATCCCAGCGAAGGAAGTTTCTGAAGTACAGGACCAGGAGTGCTTTTGGCAGGGGCAGGCGGGAGAGAGGAACCGAGTTAGGGCTGGCGAAGGGAACACTCGCTCTTACAGAAGGGAGAGGTGAGCCCGAGACTTACCACGCATCCCATAGTAGGAGAATCTTTCACAGAATTCATTGACCACGATGAAGAAGATGCTCACGGGGTACCCAAAGCAGCTCTGACAAAAAGGAAAATAATATCCAGACATGTCCATCACTGGTCCACACTCACGTGCCAGCACCGGAGGCTGGGCAAAGATCCACGGCACACTTAATAAATTCTCAGTGCCATTCAGACCCAGAATCTTGAATTCTGTGATTTCTACAGCCTGTGCTTGTCATCCCACATAGATTGCAGTGAAATAAATCAACGAGCATGCGCAGGAAACGAAAGGACATCGGCACGAGCATGCGCAGGAAACGAAAGGACATGGGCAGAACTCAGGACCGCTCCTTACACATCAAGCACAGCGTGTCAAGTGAACAAAGCCCATTTGCAGCCACCGAAGGACAGAACACTGCACAACTTCCAGGATAAAGACACAGGAGAAGGGCAAAGCATACTTACCCGTGACTTGGACATCCCTGAAAGAAAAACAGAACACCAACGTTAAAGTCGTGTTCAACTCAGCACCCGTGGCTTCTCTGGGATCCCAAGCCAGGACTCTCCCATCACATCTGCAGTGAGGACCGGTGTCCTCAGGCAATGCTTGTGATCATTCAGGGGGAGAAAGAACCAGTGCCCAGAAAATCATGCCCAAACCATTTCCTCCTCAAACACTTCAAAGGCCACCTCTGTATAAAACCCAAGCATTCCGGTGTGGTCTTCACTACCTCACAGCTCCTCAGAGTCCTCTGAGGGTTAGATCATTGAGGTGTAGCATGCTTTGGGGTGCCTAATTCAGAGAGAGGATTCAACCACTCTTTCCTGTTCCTAACCCTGCCTTCCTTCCGGCCCTTCTCCATGCAAAGACCCTGTGAAACCCAACTGTTTGTCCATTGAATATGCTGAGTGATCTCTCAAAGTTTGTAACATGGGATATGGCCACCTGTTGCTGGGTGCCCTACCCCCTTTAATGTGTCCCTTTCCACTCAAGCTTTAGCCTTGGTGTTGACGTTCCCTTCACACAGTGTGGTGTAAGGATGGGTCATTCCTGTTCTTACCTCCCTACGGGATTGAGTCTCTCAGTGGAAGAAGCATGTGACACACCTTAACATCCCTGTCTCTCTTATGGTACGCACTGTGACAACAGCTGTTGTCAGCAGAACAAATGAGAAGAAGGTGAAAACAAGAACCATGAGATTCCAAACTTAGTGTGGCATTTTACTTCCTAATTCTGAGGCGCATCCTTCAGTCCCATGACCTCAGAAGCAGAGACCTCTGCTCCTCTGTCTCCCTCCTCTGAATTTTGGGGTGTCTCACACCCTTGTCTCTGGTCTTCTCTAGACCTTCTCTGTTTCCAAAAACGACATATTGCTCCATATTTATCATACTGTGTCCCTTTTCAGGGGAACCCACCCTCTTCCCGTTTCCCAGACTCAATTGACCTCATCTTAAGAGTTCTTTGCTCCTGAGGCTCCCTGCCTCTGTTAGGAGCCAATGGCTCAGCAGTCGAGGGTTACAAGCTGGGCTGTTTCTGAGACTCTCTGGGCGGGGGGGGGGGGGGGGGGGGGGGGGGGGGGGGGGGGGGGGGGGGGGGGACTTGTGGGAACAGACTGCTGGGCTAGCTCAGAGCTGCTGACTCCGTAGGTCTGCCAGACATGTGCGACTGCATTTTCTATCCAGTCGCAGGGTTGCACGCATTGAAAACTGCTGCATGGGGGAATTAGAAGTGATGCCGAAGCCCTGGCTGCGGCCGCTGCACGCTGCCCTGCGCAGGGTGACCACCCTGCACAGCTCTGCTGGAAACCACTCTGGTCACTGTGTCTCCTATCAAGACGCAGGGAGGATCTCACTGTCAAATAAGCTCCAAGGTGACTTGGATGCTGCAGTCTAGGGACCTCACACTCTGAGAAGCGCATGTCAGCTGTGGTATTGTTGCCTGGCGGATCTCTGTATGTAAAGATCATCACTCCTCTGGCCCTGAGAACCAGGAAGACCAGCTAACTACCCAGAGCAGGAAGCAAAGGAGAAGCTGGGCAGGTACTGACCCGCCACTGCTCCCCGTCTCGGTCTCTGCTCCCCATTCACATTCCTCCCTCAGAACTGCCACTACGTACGGTCAGTCTGTGTGACTCCCACATTCGTCCCACAGCAAGCAAAACCCCAGTTCTGCAAGAGGAACTCTTTTCTTGACCTAGACCATGTAGTCCTCCCCCCCAACCAGCCCCCGTTCACCTCCCTGGCAGGTACACCCCTCCCTACTCCTGTCAGCTGAGCTGGGGGCCCTCTCCACTTGCCTAACTCAGCCGTGACCCCAGACATCAGACCAGACTGTCTTGTGTTTCTCCCCACTTCAGCGTGTTTGATGTTATTTCAGCCCTTGCTCCAAGGAAGGAAATAACACCATCCTGATCTCCCAGGACTCCAGTTCCCAACTCTTCCTGCTCTTGAAGCTGGAGCCAGAGATTTCACACCATAACCAAACTGTTTTTTCCCCCTCAGTTAAGAGTTCGTTGATGGAAAGGGTTGCTTTGAAGGTGCCATGCATAAAATGAGAGCCAGGGGGTCAGACTTGCGGTTGAATCTCAGTTCTCCCAGCTGGCATCCGGGGTCCTGGGCAAGCCTGGGTAACTGGATAGCAAAACAAAGATAAACAACACCCCCTGCTTTGTAAGAGCTCACAGGGGGCCAACAAGATGGATGGCCCAGAGGCCCAGAGGGGAAGGGCACTGAGATCAAGGTTGAAGACACAGGCTCCATTCACAGAATTTACACTTTCAGAAAACAGGCTCTTGCAAGCTTTCCTGCAACTGATACAAACATGCATGCACACATGAGCTCACGCAGACACTGTGGAGAAAGAGTCTCTGTGAAGGTTTCTCTACCTGGCTTCGTGCACTAGTAAAATGGAGGCACTACGGCCAGGAGCCTTCCACCTTGAATGGCGCTCTCCAGTGCTCACGGAACAAGGAGAAGCCAAGCTGAGCACCAGAGACCAACCCTCTGTGTTTCCTGTCTGTGGAGGCCTTGCGACTATCCCTTGGCTGCCATGACTTCCCTGCTGGGATGGGCTGTACACTCTCCACTGTCAGCGTTCATCCGCACACAAGGAAGAGTCTTAAGTCACCAGGGAGCAGGGCAGAGGAGGCAAGCCCAGGCTAAGGGTGTTCTTCAGTGTCCTGATTTATCCCAGGGTGGCTTGTGTTCTTGAAGAAACAGCAGTGCCCCTAATGTTCTATCTACTTTGAACCTCAGAGCATGTGGCCTCCCCATGGCCTAAGGACAAAGCAGGGAGTGAGACATTAGAGCCCAGGATGTCCTCATGAGGAAGAGCGGTCAGCCCAGAGTCCACAGAGCCAGGGCGAGTTTCACCACAGTGGCGCCCTTCTCATGTCCCTAGGCGCTCTGGTTCACAGGGGAGGACCCTGTATCTCCATGGCAGGAGCTGTGCATTTCCGCTAAATATTACCTAGCACTGGTTTACATTAAATGCTTATGTGGTTATGGGAAATATTTGGTGGGCTGAGACCTTAGCTGGCCTTTCATCACATCTAGAATTTTATCATGGAAAAGGAGAGTCCGACCTCACTCAAGCAAAACCCTGAGATGTGGGACCCAGCCAACCAACGGGAAGCATTTTGTGTTTTGAAAGGTGTGCCTTCCCAAGAACTGCCTTCATCATTCGGGGGCAGAGGTCACTCAGTTCTTTTTATAGAATCCAGAGCTCTCTGCTGGCCGCACACCAAAGTCAGCATTTCTTATCTGAATGTCCCCGTGTCAACAGGACCGCTATCATAGAAAGGCCAAGTGCAGAACCCGGGAGCACAAGTTCCGACGTGATCTGAACTCAGATTTCAGTTTCCACAAGGCTTGTCTACTTTAGGCCATCGCTGTGTTGTCGTCCTGGTTACCACACTCACTCAGCAGGCTGGAGTGACGTTTCCAGAACAGTTCCTAGAGCCCTGGGAGATGTAAGCAGGATCAGGGACCACATCTAGACTCCAGATGCCCTTATCTAGAGAGCTCAGTGGAGCCAGTGTGTCTAACCACTGACTAAACATTGGCTTTTGCTGTTACTATGTCTGATAGATAGGACATAATAGATATGACTTTCTACTGTCTAGAAATTTTAGACAAAATTACTGACAGTCAGGGCACAGTACGCATGTCTCTCACACAAACTTTGGAGTGCAGTGGAGGGACAGAGAAAGCAGGGAGAAGGGTGAGATTCTAGTGAGAGTCACTACTTCAAAGCATTTCTCCGTTAGCAGGGACATCTCCCCGGGACTGGGACGTACGCAGAGCATATTTTAAACCATGTAGAGTTAGGATCTCTAAGTAGTGCTTTGTTACCTAGACGTCAGTACAGTGATAGCGGGTTAAAGGGGAAGTGTTCTGAGAAACGTAACTCATCATCGATGGCAAAGATCGTGATGATGTTTTCATCCTTGTTCAAACACCAGGGAGTATATTTATACAAACCTGGAGGGGCAGTATATTGCAATCTTGTGGGCGTACACCACCCACGGTTGGAACGTCATATGACCGAGGTCCCTCAGCAACACTCAGATCCCACAGTGCACTCCCAGGGGTTAGGTTTGGGATCTTGGAAAAGAACAAAGCCTTCGCTAAGGTCTAAGAAAGGAACCCGCACTTTCAGAGGGAGAAAAAAACTATTTCCTACCACTTCTAAAAATATCCATGTCCTACCCTCTGGGGGTTTTTCCTTCCCTGGAAAAAAGAACTTTGCTGATGATTACAGACCTTGAAATATGGACCTTATCTCGAGTTGTTCAGTGGGTGAAGAGAAACACCACACCAAGAAGAGTCAGCATGATAATGCATCATGGACTGTTCTTTCTGTACCATTCATTGCCAAGGCAAGGGAAGCCAAGCATGGTGGTCCTAGCTCTGGGGAGGCAGAGGCAGGCAGGTATCAGTGAGTTCAAGGCCAGCCTGGTCTACATAATGAGTCCTAGGACAGCCAGCATTACGTAGAGAGACCTGTCTTAACCAAAACCAAACACCCCAAGAATAAAGAAACTGCCTAAATGCTAAAAGGATCAGCTTAATGTTAGGAACCTTACCAAAGACCTGACTGGCCATGGTTGTTGATCTGAGTCCACACCCCATGAACCTGCTGAGTCTGAACAGGTGTGATGGTTATCAGTACAGCTCCTCAGGAGACGGACACGGAAAATAAGCCCACTTAGCTGCTGCCTAGCTTCAGCTCCTCAGCAGTGGGTACCACATACCACAGAGTGCCAATAGCAGCTCCTGACATGTCTGTGTTGCGGGCCAGATGCCAGGGCGCTCTTTCTGTTCGACCTACTTCGGTGATAATGTGCCCTTGTATATCATTCCCATCTGCCAGTCAGACCACGCTCTGTTTCGTGCGTACACCACAGCTGGGTCCTCGTCTCAACTTAGCATCCACTGCTTAGTCTTGGGGCACAGCTCCTGGCCAGCACATGCAGTTTGT